ATATAAGAATCCCTCTTTTTCGTGTTATTAAAGCACAACCGTCAAGCTTTTGCAGATCTTTGTGTGTGCTCTTCATGGGAACTCACTCTTCTGGTTTGATGATTACTCTTGTTTTTACACCCCCCCACTTCATAACTTATCCAGCGTAGACGAGTGGTGCGCCATCACTCACTGTGGCATCGATGTGTTTCGACAATCATGTGCATGCCCAAACAATACTCTGTCCAAGGATTACTCACTGTTTTCTTTGGGAGAGTCGGTTTGTTTTTCTGTTTTGTCCATATATCCATGACTCCATATACCCGAGCTCTGTGACGTCAGCGTTTTCTCTCCGTGTTTGTGGTTGTTCACAGTCAGGTCTTGATGGCTCATCAAGTTGTCATGGCCTTCCAGCTTTTACAGCATTCCTTTCTTTATGTCCGAAAGGTGTTTTTTTTTTTTTTTTTTCATCAGTGCACTCTGACTGTGCTGTAAAATAATCCCATGAATAGACCAAAAAGCTTTGACGTGTACTCAAGGCCAGGTACGTTGTGTTGATATTGGAGGAGCTCTGTTTTCCTTCAGAGAATGATGCCACTTTGGACTTGGCCTTCCTTTTGGGGGGGGCAACAGTAGGAGGTCACAGTCTTTGAAAGGCTGCTTTGGGTTTTGTATGTGTGAAAACAAAGGAACTTGCGTTACATGAAAGAAAGCTGCGTGGGAGGGAAAAAAGACAAGGAGCAAGGAGAAGAAAGTTTGGTCACTGTGGCCTCGGTTTCACGGTCAGCAGAGGAGTAATCATCAATGGTGAGAGGAGGAAGGGAGGGATGGTGACTGAGTGACTACTAGTCCAACAGATGTGATAGATGTCTTTAATAACCTCTGGCTGCTTTTTTAGTGTCCTCCAGGATTTGTTGTTATTAAGAAGTAGGTCTTATTCTGATGACTACCTCTTTCGTTGACTCCCACATCACGCTGGGCGTCGGTCCAGACAGTCAAAATAAACACAAAGTCAAAAGCCCCCCTGTACTTGTGCTGATGTGGCACTTGTTGACGGTGCCAGCATGTCTCAGTCCTGACCGAGGCGCATGTGTCCTCGCAATAGTCAGCAGTGGCGAGACAACACAACAGCTTTCTTGCTGATCACCTGTTGAATCAGTTGGAACCCCAAAGCCTTGCAGCCAGTAGATCCAGCATCCCCACATTACAGGGTAAATTGCAAAAGCATGTTTAGGTAAATCGTGTATGATGGTTTTAATAAGCATTTCCATTACGACGAGGAAGGAAGAGCGAGAAAGAGAGGAGCTCGTTGGGAATACACGTAGGACCGTGGGAGCCATAAGAACTCATTCTCATCACTGCTGAAAAACAAAATGAGAGCATTTTATTGTGCTTCCATTTCTACTGCAAATAACAATCACAAACACTCTCTCCTTTAGTGTGTCTAAGTAGCTTGAAGCTCTATCACAGACATAGAATTGGTGAAGGCCCATGTTTTATTAATTTGCAGATGAGCTCAGCTATTGATGGCGTTGGCCGCCCATGGGTTCAATTAGGATAATACAGGGAGAGGGGCAGATTATGGGCGGCTATTTAAGTGAGGGTATATCTCTTCCTGACAGTTATAGTCCAAATGCAACAAATTGCACCTTGGTGGCTGTGAGCGGCGCCATATCGAGTCCTCTGGTGATGAAACATGCCAGTGTGGCAGGTCAGCCGTGTGGAGACGACACCGGGCTGTGTGAGCCATGTAGCCTGTCCTCTCTGAGCTAACAACACAGGTCTGAGTGCAGCCTATTCCCATTCAGTTAATAGGGGCCATTTAGAAAACAGCAGTCTATATGGTGGTGCGCTGAGTGCATGCTCTACCCAGCCAACCCTAAACAGTGCCACTTAGCACGACTCTCTCTAAACTATTGCACTTCTTCTCCGCACTGCTCTCTGGGTTGAAAGCCTGTTGACGGCTCAACAGAGCAAAACTGAACCACGTAAACTTTTTACAAATGCAAGACAGCGTGGGTGGATATCGTCACATGTGCCCATAAAAGGAGGAATGGTCGTAGCCTGCATGTGACACACAAAACTGCTCACATTGAACATTTATTATGACCGATTGGGGCCTTGACTGTAACTTCACTGTGCAATGAAAACAGTTGACTGTACATTGTCCCTGGAATGCATTGTGTGAAATTGAATAGGGAGGCCATAAAGTGGAACCGGAGACACTGACCCAAGCATGCAGAGCCCGTCGGTTATCTTACATGTCTGTTCAGTCCATCCCAAGCATTAAAACTGCAGACAGCTCTATAGAGAGCGGCCGGACTGTTTGCTTTCTTTTGCTTAGGGAAATGACGACTTGTTTCTCAGCTGCATCGGAGCAGCATGTTTAGGCTACGGACGCTGAGATAACCCAGTCCTCCTCTCCACACATTGACAAGGAGCAGTTGGGGAAAGAGTGAGCTCTCACAGGAGTAGTACACACTGACTCATAGAGGATAAGGAAGAGGATCCTCCTCAGTTTTTGTTTTTACTCAAGAGCAGGTCGTTTCAGTCTGAGTGCTGCGCTTTAACAGTCATACATTTTCTCTTTTAACAACCTCTGTCCTCAACTTGAGTCAGACCATTATATTAGGTAATACTGTACTGTTTTTTTTCCAGGTACATTGCACAAAAAGTCAACAATAATTCAGCATGAGATCCAGTAGCTGTTTAACATGTCAACAAGGCTGCAAAATTGATGATAAAGGCCAACTGTGAAGAAAAAAAGAAAAAACAAGACTAAACATGTAGTATCACCTGAATATCTATCCATCTTAATTCCTGACCTGTGAAGTACTTTATCATCCCGACCCACTAACCCTTCCCTCTCCTTGTTTGCCTGTCATGGCTTTCCTTGTTCCCTGCTCCAGCCAAGCTGGGGCAATAGGGCACTGCTAATGTGCTTGGTGGGTCATTAATTCTTAGGATGGCCATGGAGGCAGCAGAGCAGGCAAGCTCTGCTGTTTGATATTGGGGCGAAATGGTGGTGGGGAAGCAAAGCAGATGTTTGTGTTGGATGGCGAGAGAAAACAGCGTACTTGATGCCAACCCAATCACCATCTCATGCCAGGCAACAGCTGCCCAAATACATTTCAGCCAAAGTCTGGCAAAGAGAGGCAGGGGTGACCAGATCAGCTTTAACTCACTTTTGCTTTCTTTTCTCATGTTCTTCAAGCCTTCATATAATTAGTTTTTTGTATATACCAAAGTCGGGACTCTCCTGTGAACGGTTTGTTTTTGTTTTAGTAAATAATCTAAAAAAAAAAAAAAAAAGTTATTCAAGGATGTTTCATATTTGAAAGTTTTGAAGCTGAAGGTGAACTGGACACTGATAAATGTAAAACACACTGGAGTTTGTCTTCTTGTCTGTATTGTTGTGTGTAGCTGGTGTTCACTGTGCTTTCACCTTTGAAGAGAGATGGGAATCAGCGGAGAGGACACAAAGAAAAGGAGCCGTAGACTAACCCAGATTTTTCGCTGGCCATGGTAAAAATATAACAATGTATGCGCATACATAGACCCAAGAACAAGGACAGTTCATTTAACTCTCTCCTGCCTCTCCACCCAACTGATATGAGCCATTCATCATCGCCCACCTTCATATCTTGCGTGCCGCATGGAAAGGACAGCGTGTGTGTCTGTGTGTGTGTGTCTGTGTGCATGTTTGCGTGTTTGTGCAAACAGATTAAAGATAAATATCTTCTACGTAGCCCACACGTCTTGATCCCGTCACAGAATTCCCAAGCATTTATGAGTTTCAGACCGTGAGGAATACGGTTTGGGTCCGGCTAACGCTCAGAGTGTGCTGCCCTCTACTGCTCTTTTGGTGAACATCTGTGCTCAGAACATCTGCTGGTGGTGCCAATACACACCGAGTAGGACTGGGTGCTTAACAATGCTGCAGATGTACTCATATCAGACACATGCAGAAGAGCTCATATGGTTTGATGCCCTGTGTTAACATTTAGTTTAAATGTCAAATATAATTACTTGACTATGTTTTATCCCATATAATCCTTGTTGAAAAAAACCTGCTGTAAAAGATGATCTCTAAAACAGTCTTGTTTTCAGAGCGTTATTACATAACAGTTAAGAGATGGGGAACTATAGACGCTTTACTGAATTAGCATTTTGGGATAAAATTACTTCTTTAATATACATGTTTGTTTTTTTCCTGCAGATTTAGATTATCACTTGCAGAAAATATTTTTCCAAGCTGCCGGTAATTGCATCCTCACAACCTTCATTGCACAGCACGTGCATTGCTCTAATGCGATTTCTGCGCTGAGATACAAGCTCATATTCAAAACAGATATACCTGAGATAATGCTTGGATGAAAGGGTCACACACAGCTCGCTAATTGTGACTCTCCGTATGTTGTGTACGTAATGAGAAAGCCTGAGAAAAGAGCTTTGTTGTCAGGATGCAGGAAGATTTCTAATCCTGAATTATCATTGGCTCATTTGTCATCTCTAATTTCGAGAGCTGGAGTTGGGGAATCAAAGGAGGCAGGTAATGAGGACCCACAGTAGCCAGCAAGGTAACCGTGGTTACACTTGGTGCATTAATGTATGTAATCTGTTACTGTGTCTGTGACAAGGACATGTAGTGTGCTAATTAAAGAAACCTTCCTCTGCTCCTCCCTTAGACACAGGTCATGTCTCATTAAAGATGGTCTCAATGCATGGGGAGTCATTCATTACTGGCTATTTGGAGGAAAAGGAGGGCGGAGGGGATTCCTGTATGCACACACATTACACAGCATGCACACATGCAGAACAGTGCGGCGGGATTATAGACAACCAAACTTGCAAGCACCATGACAAGCTGTTTACTGTGGAGAATTTAGGAAGGTAACTAGTAAATAAAGCAAATATGGTATAATTTTTGAAGGCATCCTCACTTAAGCTTTGCCCGATATTGTACATTACAAAGGCAAAATAAAAACAATACTTATGAGAAATAACGAGTAAAACCGCAGTTGTTCAAAAAACAATAAATTTTATTTCTGAAATGCGGGGATATTCACAAGGAAAAAAACAATGCCAGGTTAATATCATTTACTTTACTAAATACAAAAAATATATAGAATTGGAAAAAAAAATAAACCACATCTTCAAAATGTTTTTATTTCTGATACACCAGTTAAAAAAATAAAAATAAACTGCTGAGCTTACGCCTGGGGCAATGGTCCGTCAAAGACACCAATCCTGCTTTTAGAAAAGGCGATGCATCGCCTTACATCTGGTTGTCAGGACACCTACGTGGATGTTTAGTGCACAGGAATTCTCATACAGCAACCTTCAAAGAGATAGCGCTCTGGCAGAAAGGCTTGTCCGCAGTTCAAAAATCGCATTTTAGTGGCTCCAGTAACATTGCAATCCAAACCTGGGGAATGTTTTTCTGTTCCTAAAGGCTGTACTACAACCCTCTGTGGACAGAATAAACGACAAGTCCCAACGCTCTTGAATGCCACATCTAACAGCTCGTTATACATATTGAAAGAAAAAAGAAAGACTGACAAAGTAAAAGAAAATATGGAAGGTTGTAGCGTTCACAGGTGTTACTATTGTTGTTTTCTCCTTGTGATCAAAACAAAACAGGTGATAAACGCACAAAAAAACAAAAATGATGTTTTCCCTTGCCTGACCTTATCTCATGACAAAAGTACTCTCATGATTTCAACATAGTAAACTTTGTCCTCTTGTGATAAATTCTGACATTAACCAAACTATATTTCTCATTACTATTAGAAAAGAGTAGTCATCTATAATCCACACAAATAAGGCAATCTCCCCCTAATATTCCTTCATGTTCAAGAGCATTTTCTAACTGATAACTGTCACTAGTGAACCATCACTCTTTGTAGATAATACAGTGACATTGGATGAGCTCTTTTGGTTGTAGTTGCATCGTTTTAAAATAATGTATTTAAATTCCTATATGAACTCTAACCTGTCACATTGCTGCTTATTATAGATGACTTGAGATGTTACCTAACAATCATGAGAAAACCACTGGGTTATGTCAGATCACCAAATCTAGTGACCACATAGAAACGAGAGATTATTTCTCATGAAATAGTCGAATTTGTGATCAGGAGGGGGGGGAAAAAAGGGGAAAAAATGAACTCCAGAAAGTAACAAGACTCAACAAAGATTGTAATAATCAAGTGTGTTTATAAAATTTTAATCTGCACCTGGAACTGGATGTGCACCTCGATGCACTTACTGCACTAAGAGTTGATTTTTCACCCAAGGAAAGTGCAGTTGTTGATGAAAAATTAGCAAATATGTTCCAAAATTCCCTGTCTTGGAGTGTTATGAAATCCTGTTATGAAAGTGTATGACCCACTCGAAAACATAATCACTTGTTCTGTGGCCTGACTCCACTACATTTAACTGAAATCTATTGAAAGCATTTTTAAATAACCTAGTATCTACATAAGGGTGGAAAACAGCCGAATAAGCCAAGTTCACACCCGTGGGTTCTACAGTACAGTCCCCTGTAAAGGAGTCCCTGTCTGAATATGAAAGCAGATGAGCAGTCCGAGACAAGTGCAAATCCTCCCTGAGACTGGTCCATGTACTTACACAGACATCTGATTCAGCATTATACAACCCAAGTACCCTACGAGAACACTAAACAAGTCACACTGACCGGCCTAAAATTGTGTTTTGGTGCCACTTCTGCAGCTCCACTGTTTCCATACAACATTTAAGACAAAATACATTATCAATCAGTCACGATAAGACTCTCAGAGCAGCACGTAAACCACACTGGTCAGAAACTAAGTGGATCAAAACAAAATGTATTAAGTTGATCACACAGTTATTATTGCTAAAATGATTATCACTTTGATTTATTTGAATGATGAATCGCCCCCAGATACCTGACCAGGTGCTGGTCTCCATCCACAGATCTGTTGAGCTGTGAGGTACCACATTAACTGCAGATGGGTGGGGAAGCGCTGAGTGAAGTGATTCAGCACGTGATGCTCTGACATGCTTCAGGGCATCCGTCCTCAGGTGGCTGACAGACGGACACTATGCCATCATGTGTCTCTGAGCTGACCTCGGCTCTGCAGGCTCTGGAAGTGGGCCTCCTTCAGGATGCGGTTGATCTGCAGGTAGGACACCGGGTTCGTAGGGCCGGCCAGCTCTGAAGACTTGGCAGTGCTGAGGGGACTGCAGGGGCCAACAGCACACTGACTGCTACAGCTCCCTGCTGCATGTTCAGGACTGCTGATGCTGCTGCTGCTCTCACTGTTGGATGACTGAAATGCAGACATTAACATCAGGCGTGTCTTAGCGAGATATCAGTTTCAAAATTCAAGTGTTCCACAATAACAGTAGCACCAATAAATAAATGTCAATTTAAAGGTTGCACTCTTTCTAGCAAATAAATTAAAGTCTGTCATGGTCTCAAAATGTGCATTTCCATTCTTTTTAGCCTAAAAAACTGCAAAGACAGTTAATTTTACCATGACTGTATAACCTCTGTTTCTTTGTCTTTCAGTGTTTGCAGCTTTAAATGCAGCTGAGCTGCTTCTGTCCACAGACCCTTCAGGATAAAGACCCTCTGCATCTGTGACTGACAGCGTGGTGCTAAACAATTGACTGGCACACACATGCTTGTGTGTTTGAAACCAGAACTTTCTATCCATTCTAACTTTCCCTCTGACTGATCACCGTACACACTGAATTTGCTATTGTTCCCAGCTGCTGTTTTTAACCAATTTTATGGTGAGTTTGTCTGACACATAATTAAAGCCTAGTAGTTTAGTATGGATTAAAAAAAAAAAAAAATCTGTGGCTGAGCTAAGAATGCAGGAGTAAGTCAACCCTGGGTTTGTGAATCTATCTCTGAGGACGCTTACATGAAAGAAGTGGGGTGGTGACAGGTGACCAATCACAAACATGGATGGATCTACTGGCATCAGAATGGAATGTTTTACAAACTTAGAGCCAACTATAATATTAGAGAGATGTAAAGATTGTAAACTAACAATACAGACTGAAAGCACCACAGTTACAGTAACTAAGGAAGATCAGAGGGCTGCACCAAATGAACATGTTGCTAAAATATGTGTGTAAGCTGCTTCATCTGCAACCCTGCAGTGATGAACGGTCTAAGAACAAGTAAAAAAAAAAAAAAGTACAAATTCTATACATACAATACATCTACATATCTACTCTAACATTGTACAGAAGGCCTCATGTAAGTGTGTAGAAACTTAGATATCGCTCACAAATACAGCAAACTAAAATCCTAAAACCGTATGAGAAGTTTAAAATGTAATACAGGCTAAAAACAACACAACTGCTGCAGCCAAACTCACAAAAGAATGCTGCAAAAAAGCAGACTGGGTGAAAGCGGATTTAATATACTTATCAATATCACTGTCCCTCTATGTATAAGTTGCTTAGATGTAGGTTTCTTATTCCTGATCCAAGACTCAGTTTAAATATTACTATCCATCACAAGATTGTACAGCAAAATTACAGATGTGTCTGTACTGTTATGCTCTCACAAAAACACAAATTATTTATAGAAAAATAATCCAGTCATAAAAACCAAACATAGTGATGGGGACGATGAATTCTGTAATCTCACATTAAGTCTCATTTGTTTGGCTTAAATACCCTTTCATTCTTATTCTTTCAGCTGCTTAAACTGCTTTAGGAGTAGGAAAAGAACAAATGTAAAATTGTAATTCAAATTGATAAATAGGCTTATTGGCAATCGTATACGCTCAACAATCAGACTATAAGTCTTTAGCAGTTTCTGTCATAGGACTATATCTCTCTACAAAGACAAATGGAACAATAAAAAGGCTTTGAAACTCATATTTTCCCCTCTCACTATCTTGAGTATTGAGCTCTGCTGGGTCTTCTAAGAATGCTGATGACATTTTCCAAGAGAACAGATTGGTCAGAAGGAGGCGCTTTTATAAGCGCTGATCTCTTATTTGGAACATAACCGGCTCTGTAGTAGGTTAGACATTCAGCATAAATTACCATGGAGATGTACCCTGGTTAGAACTGAACCAGCGCCTGGAGTTCAACCAGAAGTCACCTCGATAACCTCAGATGCTGCCCTGTAGAACAGGCCTCTGGTGAGTTTGGCCATCTTGTTCAGTTCACTACATTAGTGAGAAACCTGTTTAATTGCAGTGCAACAGAGTGGACAAAAACAGCCTCAGTCTGCTTAGAATCAAACTTATGTGTAATTTGTTTGTGGTGTGACCATGCAGATAGTAATTTTAGTATGAATTCAAAACTACTATTCAGTTCATCTGTTCCTATAAAACCTTGCCTCACGATCTTGTAGGCACACTGTCCTTTGCTTAGTTTTATCAAATATAATTTTGACGTAATTGAAGAAATACAACAAGCCATATTATTTTTCCCCCATAGGAGAATAGCAACAAGTTGCAGCCAGAGGCTGGCTATTTAAGACCACCCTTCCCTTGATACTTGCCGTACCTCCGAGTCCCAGGCATCCCGGCCTGGCTCAGGAGAGAGAGGGTGACCTCTGCTCTGCCGTTTGGCTTGGGGCACCAGGTGGCCACTCTCCTCATCACCACCACTGCGCTGCCGTTTCCTGTTTGGGTCAAAGCAAAGAAAATTAAAAAATACATGAGCTATTTAAAGGCAAAGGAGGTACAGGCCACACGATGGTTTCAATAATCTGTTCAAAAAGTGGAAGCAACATCTGAAATCAGAGTACAGAAAATTCTGGTAAGGAAATAGATCAGTAAAGCAAACACAGGCATTACTCATTCTTGTGTACATGTGCCACAATATATAAGTAATGTTATTCTGGCTTGATATGAACAGTCATTACATAATGCTGAACACTGACTACAATGCTAACTGCCACTCTTTTATCCAAAGCAAGACAGCTAGCTGTATTGCAAACATTTACACAAAAAGAACAAGATAAGCCAATTACACAACTGTCAAATTCGTACAGTTACACCGTTGGTGTGACCAGAGCACAACCAACCTTTGCTGGTGAGCGTGAATCCTGAAATGAAAGGTTAGCATGATTAACTCCTTTTAAATATCGAATGCAAGCTGTTTAAATCGGTCACTGAACAAGCACCATTTGCTCACACAGTGTTAAATGCAGTGCCGTTGGCTCGCTCACCTGTTTTCAGTCAACATATGATGACACTTAATCAGTCTAGATGAGCTTTCTTTGTGTTTTGCTCAGACCAGTCAAGAGGACCCGGCTGGTTGACGTTATCGACTTGTAGGTTGTTTCCTGTCAGCCGATGGCCTATTATCTCAGTTAAGCTAACCTTGGCTGGCTAGCTAATTACGCTAAATAGCGGTATGATATTATTATCCATTTTGGCAACTCCAACAATATAAGTAGCTAAAACAATAAACAGCACAGACACGTCTAGGTGCCGTTATTTGTCTATAAAACTACAGAAAGATCGGGCGTTGACGAACTAGCTAGTTATCAAGCCAGTCCCAAGCGCCTTATCATTGGTACAAGCTAACGCTAACGTCACGATGAGCTAATGCTAACCCTCTTATCTAATGTTCTTCATTAGCTGACCACGGCACATAATTCAAAACAGAGTAATTTCCTGTTTACAAGACTAACAATCTTTATAACGCAGCCCAAATAAATTAACTTGGGCTTTAACTCTATCTAGCTAGCGATACTAGCTCCAGATACAACCACAACCAACCGCGACAGTTGTGTTTACATGACACTGCGGCTGCGCAGATACCAGTAATGGTGCTTTTTGGCCTGCCGGGAAAATATTTTACTCTGCTCTTATGTTGGGGATTCAAAGTCAAATTTTCTGCAGGGAGTAGGCATATAAAGAGTAAAAAGTGCGATAATTATGATGGCAAATAATGGTAACATAACTGGTGTACTCTTACTTGCTTGTAAGCGTATGGTGTACAAGTGAACTGGAAATAATATTGGGACTTCCGAGTAGCACTTGAAGTGAACACAAAATAACAAAATAACACTGGCGCAAACTGTGCAGTACAGTGAAAGACGTTTTTGACGAATTGAAGTTACATCACACAAATATTATTTTTTTTAGTCATTAAAACAGAATTAGTCTTCACCTGACAGTCCACATATAACACTCTATTTCATGACACATTTTTTAATTTCCCCAAAGGATGTCGCTGTTTACAACAGAACTGCTTTATTATACAGATAGCCTAATCCCATGTTATTGGTGAAGGGACTTTAAATATCAAACAACAAAAATAGATCCACAATAAAGGACAGTGGACTGCAGCCATTATCTCATTAAACCACTACGAGTATTAATTATGCCAGTTAAAAAGGGGGATTTAGAAGTAGTATTCCTTAGTGTATATAGTCTTGCAGTTTAAATACGGAAAACAAACAAACAAAAATCAATCTGAGTAAAAGGGTCGACGTCTTCACAACCCGGAAGCTGCAGCCTGCTTGTCCAGCCAATAGTGTAAAAAAAAAAAAAAACGCCTCCGCCAATGACTCAAGCGCAGGACGGAGGTGAGATTATCGGGGATTCTCAGCAGCAGCGGTCCTATATGTATAAAGGGAAATAATCGCAATGGGCAGCACCGACTCAAAACTGAATTTCAGGAAGGCAGTGATCCAGCTGACGACCAAAACACAGGTATATGCGCTTCCATGACGCAGAGAAAAGCGTTTCATAGGCAGAAAGAGCCGGTGAGCGCACCGACCAGCATCACCGAGGACATGAGATAAAACCAAGAATTAACTGGCTCGTGTTGCACGTAGCCTCTTTTTTTGTTGTTTTTTTTAGTTAATATTCGTTTATTTTGAAGAATGTCAGTGTTTATTATGTCGATGCAGTTTGATTGCACGCACGATGCCAAATGCTGTCTTAAAGTGGATTAAATGACGGTCGATTGTGCGAATTGCTGTAAACCTTTATTCAAGCTGTTCAGTTTTGACGATAATATAAATGATGGCGTAGAGCAAAATCAAAGCTGATGACGCAGGTTTCTGGAAAATGACCACGTTTGCAGATGCGGCAGGTGGACTGTGCTGAAGTGACTGTGCCAGATAATGCTTCCACTGTTGCTGGAACAAGCAGTTGTGTTTACATTGCCATTACGCAGGCCTTTGGTGATGCATGTAATGTAAGACTCTACAGCCATGTGTGTATTAAGATCAAAAATGGCAACGTTATATTAATGCAAGATCAGTCAGGCCTTTGTATTGGACAAGTGACATGGATAAAAATGCTCAATTTGGCTCTTAAGGGAACTGAAATATAATCATGTTTTCCACAGCCAGTGGAGGCCACAGACGATGCTTTCTGGGATCAGTTCTGGGCAGACACCACCACCACGGTCCAGGATGTTTTTGCACTGGTGCCAGCTGCAGAGATAAGAGCTGTTCGAGAGGAGTCCCCTTCTAATTTAGCAACTCTGTGTTATAAGGTACACACTGAATGAACAGTCAATGCATCTGTGTAATGCAAATGTGTCTATGAGATGTGATTACTCGTGCTTCTATTGTGGAATAATCTTTTAAAACACTGCAGGAGTTGGTTTGTTAGGACCTTGCACAGGCACTCAGATGTGGGAATAAATGAGCCAACTCCCCTTCCTTTCCCTTTGCTTCCCGTCTCTTGCACCAAGCTTCCGTTTGAAGCTGCCTATCAGAAAGAAAACAGACTGACTGGGGCTTTGCAGGATAATTAAATAAAGAGGAGGAGATGAGAGCTGCGAGAAGCTGAGCTGATTCAAAGAGTTTGTTACCTATTTTAGACATTGGCTGCAGCAGGCTGTTGATGAAATGCAGATAATGAATCATCAATTAAATCTTTGTTAAAGGTCCAAAACAAAAATCACATCCCAGCTGACAAAGTATTTCTATTATTAAATGGAACAAACAGTAGCTCTACTGTAGAGTGTACTTTCCTGTGTAAAAAAAACACCGATTTGTAAGTGCTGCAGTTGATGAGTAAGACTGTACCGCTCGTGGTTTCATGGTGTTCGACCCACACAAAATGAGCAGTTCTCTTGATGGCTGATTTTGTTGATGTGTTTTATTTTTTCATCTCCAAAACCAAAATAATTAATTGATGGAATATTTTAAACAAAAAAAAAAGGTGCTATGATACAACAGACAGACGACAGTAAAGCAAACAACCCTTGCTCCCTACAGTTTGCTGCCATTTTTAGATCCACTTGTCACTGCAGATCAATGCAACGTTATTCTGAGTGATCGCCCTCATCCTCTAATGAAACACTTCTGTCCTGATGGAAATGGTTGCTTCCAGGATGTCTCCATCCATAGGGCACGAGCGCTCGCCGAATGCTTTGATGAGTACGACAGTTAGATGAATCATATTCTGTCGCCTTCATATTCACCAAATGTCAACCCAATACACCAAATCAAGAAATGATATTTAGAAGAATGGTGTTGCATCCCTTCAGTAGAGTTCCACAGGCTTGGAGAATCAAGCTGTTTTGGCTGCACATGGTGGCTCATTGCCTTAGTAAGAAAATGTTTGTTTCTTTTAAATTGTCACCGGTTGATATGCTGATATTCATTGTTCTCATCTACAAAGAATTCAGTGATTAAAAATGGTGTTACTGTAATTTGTAATAGAAAAATATATCAGAAACTTTTGCTCAGGCGTTCATTGAGAAATGCCTTAGTGATCAAAAAAGAGCAGCAATGTTACTGAATAGTGAGTTTTGTCAGTTAAATTATAGACACTATCTTAAACTTTGTGTGTCTGAGGTAAAACCATAAAGCAGTGTGCCTAGTTTAGTAGATTTCCATACCCAACATACTTCATGTTTCCTGATCCTTCAGGCTGTGGAAAAGCTGGTGCAGGGGGCAGAGTCTGGCTGTCCCTCTGAGAGAGAGAAACAGGTCATCCTGAACTGCACTCGCATCCTCACCCGCATCCTTCCCTATATCTTCGAGGACCAGGACTGGAGAGGATTCTTCTGGTCTACGGTGCCTGGTGCTGGCCGTGCTGGGGTAAGTGGACACAAGAAAGGGGAGCCTATTATGTCACACAGTTTAAAATATGTATACACATAATCATCAAGACAGGTTCTTTAGTCTCTTAATGCTGATTATTGCTGTTGATTGCGGCGAACAAATATATTAGATCAGCTACATAAACACAATTTCTCATGAGGCTTTTTAGATTATTACCCACTCCGGTTAGGCAAAAAAATGTTTAAATACCCTCTCTGATGAAAACTAAGTTCAGATTTGTTTTATATATATGAGCAAAAAAGCAGTCAACACTGTGACTGAGCATTTTCACCTTGAAACTGCAGTGTGCTGCAAAACATGGATTCAGACAGCTGGGGCTTCATGCACAACTAGCTTTAAAAGCCAATCCCATATGTGTATGACTGAAAGAATCCAATATTACAACTTGCCATGTGTAGTGGAGAGTAGTTTTACAGTGTTTGACTGTGTGGTGGGTGAGAAGGTGGGCTGAGATAGAGATGGGAACTTCATAGATTCACACATTGCAAAGAAGGTGACAATGTAGAGTCACATCTAAGCCATTTTAAGGCTGGAAGGGATCATTTTAATAATAAAAAAACATTTAAATATGTAATTTTGATACACAGAAATGAATATATAGGAGTTTGATCCCCTTCCTTTCCCTTTGTTTCCCATCTCTCTATTCACAGTAGAGAATATGTAATCAGTTACCAGAGAGGAACTGTAATCACAGCATTGAGGCAGTGTGTTCCTGATCATCCAAATTTCCTTGTTCCAGCTCAAAGGCGGTGTATTTTCCCCGTTCCCTTTAGAGCAGGAAGTATTATACAGGAAGGTCATTTTAGTCATTGCTAAGTTATAACTTATGTGCACTCTTCTACATATTGCACAGTTACTTTTAATGGACAGTAGAGAATATGTAATGCCTTGATCTAACCTTGCATGTGTCCATCTTCAGACAGATGAGCTGGATGATGATGATGGAGCTCGACCACTGGCCGAGTCACTGCTCCTGGCCATTGCCGACCTCCTCTTCTGCCCTGACTTCACCGTGCATAGTCATAGGAGAGGCCCTGTGAGTATTTGTCCTGACACTGTGCAGTCCAGTGCCATTAATTTGTCATCTCACCACCATCAGCAAAAGTAATTATTGCTTTGCACGTTGTCAAAATAGTGGAACGCAAACACGTCACCATTTCTTGACCTCACTCTAATTTGTTGCTAGTCATGTTTTTGCCGTCACTGCTTCCTTCTTTCTGATCTGACGTTGCTCAACCAACTTGCCACTCGGGTTTCTCTGAAGAGAAGGAAACAAAGAAAGAGATTATGGCGAATGATATGCTGTCAGTCACAGAAGGACGACGTCCTCATACCTCATGAGTGAGAAAGGAGGAGTGTTGCACGCCAGACTGAAAGTTTGAGCTCACAATGAGTTCTCTGTATTATTTCCTTGTCATTCTAATATTTTCCTAGTAAACATCTTCATAAAAAATGACAGCATGAGGTGCAAGTTACTTAGAACACACTATTTAAACTGATGTGCCGACATTTCTTACCGAGAGCCAGCATTGTTTCTCATGACAGTAATCTTTCCATGATGTACACTTGATTTTTTTAGTTGCATAACAACATATTTAGACAAAGACCCACTTGTGTAGTTTAACTGATCAACTAATCAGGCAAATTTAAACTATTTGATTTGTTTTTTTTTGTCACTGTATCCAGGACTCCATAGAAAACATGCAGTCTATAGACAGCTGTGAATACATCTGGGAGTCAGGGGTGGGTTTCGCACAATCCCCCCCTCTGAACTACATCCATGATCTGAATAGGTGAGTCACACAGTTTCATGCACCTGTGCCTGGCAACATCTGATACCACAAAATGTCTCTTACTTTTTCTTTTTGTCTGTCTGTCTCAATGCTTTTTCTGATCTTCAGGACAGAGCTGCTGAGATTATTACTAACCTGCTTCTCTGAGGCCATGTACCTGCCTCCTTCATCAGACAACACTGTCCTCAACCCATGGGTGACGTTCTTCTGCTCCACAGAAAACAGGTAATGTTCTGATGTAGGGCAGTCCCCACATGTATGGACAAACATACACATGCATGTGTGATATTTGAGACTTTTTAGATAACACAAGAAGTAAAACAAAAAATATGTGACCTTATATTAACCCTCCAAACCCCAGTCCTCACCAGTGGGTTTTAAATGTAAATTATGTAAGGGATAATGCCCGACGAGGTGTCCATTATCAGAAATTAATGGACTTCGCGGAAGCAACCGTCCGACGCGAAGCGGAGGACGGTTCACGCCTCCGCGTCCTTCCACCTCGAAGGGCATTATCCCGCTTATACCATGGTCACTTACGAAAGATATTACTAAATAAATATTAAATCAATTATTAATACGTTAATGTTGTTTTTTACCGTTAGAATCGTAAGTTTTCCACAACAAGCGGCTGAGCGGACTATTTCATGTCTCTCGTTGTGACGCGTTGCCAAGGTAACCGGTCGGCCGCAGCTGTTACCGTTTGAGTCAGCGCATTAATTTAGAACAATCAGGTTATTTGACCGGAACTTCTTTATAGGTGTCCTATATCACTTTTTAATGGACACCCTGCAGCCAATCAGAATCGAGTATTCACCCAGACCATGGTATAAAATTTAATAATTGCCAAGATTACACCATTTATCAGATCCAGAGACTGTTGTACCTTTAGAAAACAAAACCAAATTTAAGCTTAAAATCTTGATGTTTCATCCAAATTACTTTCTACTTCTACATGTCTTATTTAGAGAATGTGTCTAAAATGAAGTGTTGACTCTTACTAGATTCTGTTAAAAACAAAAAATTCTGCGCTCCTCGTCACATCTACAAAGCCATTAGTGACTCAGCTGCAACAAAAGTTTCTTGGCGACAATATTGGGAGTTTTTGGCTGAACTTGGCTGAACAGCAGGCTGAAATTCAACTTTAGTTTTTTCTTTTTTTATGTATCATTTATGACATCATAACTGTGCAAAATGCACAAAAAAATATTTTTTAATTCTCTACTTCTAGTCATGGTTATGCTGTGTCCATAGAGGTGCAGGACTTTATATTGTAGAGAAAAAGGAGCTATCAGTGACTACAATTGTGACATAAGCAAAAACCCTGAAACTGCTTAGAGCTTCCCATGGGTACAAACAGAACACCTGTTGATAGAGTTCAGCCGTGTCAGAGAATGCAAATCATTGCTTTAAAAAAAAAAGAAAAAGAATAACATGGACTTTTAGCTGCATCTAATGGTCTTCATCAGAAGTAGAGTTATTGTGGAAATGGCTCATTTGTCACAGAGACTTGGATAACATTTCCAAAATAACAGTTTGGAGGTCGATCTTCGGCTACTGTTCACAAAGTCAGTATTTTTGGCACTCAGGAATCTTTCTGCTTCCACATTGTTTTATTTTCAGGTAGGCAACATGTACAAATGCATCTTTTTTGTCTCATGGACTTGACAACACAATGTCTGTCTGGACTAAAACTGGACTTCTCATTACAAACTATAGTGTACAGTAATTCCTAACAGAAGCCTCTTCTGCAAGACTCTTTGGGTAACACATGATTCATCAATACGGTCTTTGTGTATTTGTTCCTAGACATGCTCTGCCTCTGTTCACGTCCCTGCTGAATGTGGTATGCGCCTATGATCCAGTGGGATACGGTATCCCGTACAACCACCTGCTCTTTGCTGACTACCGGGAGCAGCTGGTGGAGCAGGCTGTGCAGATCCTCATTGTGGCGCTGGAGCACGATGGAGGGGTTCCCCATCGTCCTGCCTCTCCATCCAGCATGGAGGAACAAGAGGTACGTCAAGGCCACGACGAAGAAATCAATTCTATGATAATATGTCATGTTTTTACTATCATTTAAATAAATCGTGTTATCTTTGTGCAGTCTGCAGGCCCTGAAAACCTGTTTGTGAATTATTTGTCAAGGATTCACAGGGAGGAGGTATGATTACCATTGTTTCTTTTTGAACAAAACAAGAAACACATGAAGATATTTCCTGTTGAGATCACTTTTCCAAAGCTGCCTTTGTGTTCTCCCGTTGGCAGGATTTTGACTTTGTACTGAAGGGCCTGGCTCGTCTGCTGACCAACCCTTTGACTCAGACATACCTGCCAAACTCCACCAAGAAGATCCAGTTCCACCAGGAGCTGCTGGTGCTTTTCTGGAAACTCTGCGACTTTAACAAGGTTGGAACGACACAAAATGAAGCATTTCTTTGCTCACACGATTCATTAAACAAATCTGTTCTCACGATCCACTTTGTGTTCCCATTACAGAAGTTCCTGTTTTTTGTCCTGAAGAGCAGTGACGTTCTGGATATTCTGGTTCCGATACTTTACTACCTAAATGATGCGAGGGCTGACCAGTGTGAGCCTCCTCAGATGCTTCATTACACAACAAGTCTCAACTAGACAAGTACATTGAATAACTCCTGGTTTGTTGTGTCCTTGCTACAGCACGTGTTGGACTCATGCACATTGGTGTGTTCATTCTACTGCTGCTGAGCGGAGAGAGGAACTTTGGCGTGCGCTTGAACAAGCCCTATTCCGTCCATGTGCCCATGGACATCCCGGTGTTCACAGGGACTCATGCTGACCTGCTTATAGTGGTGAGATGGACACATCTGCTACACTGCTAAGATTGCAATATTCTTGATTGCTGCCTTATGAAAGAAGTCTCACAGCGGTCACTCTGTTTGTTTTCTAGGTGTTCCACAAGATAATCACTACAGGCCACCAGCGTCTCCAGCCTCTCTTTGACTGCCTCCTCACCATTGTTGTAAATGGTAAATAGCTGTGGTGCCATCTGTTGGGCAATAAGGATATTTTATTTGCAACATTTAAATGTTTTTACATGTCATTAGAAATAGTTGTCACATTTTATGTTGTAGTGAAAATTCAAATGACTTTCAATGTTTGTTTTGTGCATTTCTTCTGCTGGTTCTTCAGTTTCCCCATATTTAAAGAGCCTGTCCATGGTAGCAGCTAATAAACTGCTCCACCTGCTGGAAGCCTTCTCCACCTGCTGGTTTCTCTTCTCTTCAGCCCAGAACCATCACCTTGTTTTTTTCCTTCTCGAGGCTTTCAACAATATTATCCAGTACCAGTTTGACGGTAAGAAAACAGCTGGAAAATTCTGTGCTTGTATGGAATCGAATGGATTCATTTTTGACATATTGGTTCTCACAAGCCTGTCCTTCTTTCTTTCACTGAAAGGAAACTGCAACTTGGTGTACGCCATCATCCGCAAACGTAATGTGTTCCACCAGCTGGCCAACCTGCCCTCTGACCCCGCTTCCATCCAGAAGGCTTTGCAGAGGAAGAAAAAGTCACCAGATGTGATTTCCCGCACAAGCTCCCAAGAGACTGTGTCCATGGAGGGCTCACACCCTGCAGTGCCAGCGGAGCCTGGTACACTAAAGGCCAGTCTGGTCGCTATGCCAGGTACAGCTATTTGGATGTAACTGTTCACGTTTTGTAGTAAGAGTTCTGTAATCACTGTGTAGTAGGTGTGCCACACATAACACATACTGTATGTATCACATATACATATCGTGCATTGATGCACCTAGAGAATACTATGAATGAAAGATGATGATTCAGAATGGCCGTACTGTATTTGTTTTATTCATCATTTTTGGGATAGGCTCAAAAAAGTGACCTAATGATGAGTCTTTTAAAAAAACTGCCTGGTAGTATTCAGTACATTTGTTGCAGCAGAGAATCTCAAAGAATTTTGGGGCTAAAGGTATGTGTTTGGACAGTTTTCAGCAGCAGATTTGTTGTTTTTGGATTTAAGAAATATATAAAGTACCCCCCAGGCTCATGCACAACGTCATTTTTAAATGATGTCCTAAGATTTATTGTTTCCTGCAGGCATTGATAAACTGACGGAGAAGTCCCAGGTATCAGAGGATGGCACCATGGTGTCAGTCCCAAAGACAGACTCCCCACACACAGTCCACTCAGACCAAAGTGCAGTCGCTGGGACTAGCGACACTGAGTCAAACTCAGGCAGAGACAATGAAGTAAGTGTGCTCTTACTGTGTAAACATGTTTGTTTAAATGTGCTGTATATGCATATTTGTACGTTTGTTTCTTCACAATATCAGGATGTTTTCTACACCGAAGCTGAAATGGAGAGAAGACGTTTGTCAAGTGCGTCTTCAACGTCCTTTTGGGCTCCAACACCAGAATGGGTCAGTAAACTCTTTCACCCTCAGCCTGTCCTTCAGTTTTTAAACAGTTAACAGAATGAGCATTTCTTACAGATTCACTCCTATTTTCCTAGGTCCTCTCTTGGAAGTGTAAGCTCCCCCTGCAGACTATCATGCGTCTCCTACAAGTGCTAGTTCCCCAGGTGGAGAAGATCTGCATTGACAAGTATGCAAACACTTCTTTTTTAGACAGCGTGCAATGTACTAGCTCTTATGTAATACTATGAAAAACGGTGCTGGAATGTGCTCTCTGCTTCACTACAGGGGTCTGACAGATGAATCAGAGATCCTGAAGTTTCTCCAGCATGGCACATTAGTGGGCCTGCTGCCAGTTCCTCACCCCATCCTCATCAGAAAGTATCAGGCCAACGCAGGCACTGCCATGTGGTTTCGCACCTACATGTGGGGTGTCGTTTATTTGCGGTGAGTCAAGTATAATACGCCAAGCATTCTGGAGTCTGACATCTCTACACACTGACTGAAACTCGTGTTTTTTTTTGTGTGTTTGTTTTTATAGCAATGTGGACCCTCCTATCTGGTATGACACTGATGTCCGCCTTTTTGAGATCCAGAGGATGTAAACAGAAGATTTTTTGACTGAAAATGAGATTGCTCCTAATCTAGGGTTACTCCTCCCTTCAGTATCTGCTGGTTTCCTGGTAAACCTCACTGTGTTTAACTTTTCTTGTGATCATAAACCTTGCCTCTCACTCCACCCACTTTGGTTGAAGAGTCATTCAGACGAGTGAGGGAGAGATTCCTCTCTGATGAAGGAATTGTCAATATTGTCTGTAAATGACTGTGTTTGTACATTTCTTCAGACCTCAAGACCACAGAATGTCTGTCAAAGCACTGAGACTACCAGAGCGTTCACTGGAGGCCGAGGCTCTTTTCTTGACAGCATAGACATGAAAGAGGAAATACTGTTTAACTTTTTCGTCAGATTTGTCATAGAAGATATGGTGCTTTCCAGCAAAAGGCTTGTAACATATCTTGGTTGGCCCAATATTAGTGTTTTACGCTATTTGTTGTACTTGCCATGCTTTAAAGTGAACTTGCACCTTTTCGAATTGTCTACTATGGTTATAGTTTACGTGATGATGTTTGGAGATAATAATACAGACTGTATGTTTTTATGTATATGACCAGGTTTCATTTTTGATCTGGCCAGCTCTGCCTAAAATACCTAATGCTGAAAATTGTATTTTCCTTAAAATTGTCCTAGAAATATATATTGATATGCATCTGTGAATTCTATGTTGGTCACATTACTGTACAATGTGCTTTATATATATATATTCAACATATGTAAATAGTTCATAAAGACTGACAGTGGTTCTCACAAACACAAAGTCATGGTTATACTTCCTTGGTTAATGTGGACCATCAGATTTAGTTTAACCCTGTTCCCTCTACTGTATAGAGGGTGACCTCAGCATGCCTTCTGTAAAGGTGGCATTTTTACATTTCCACCACTAGATGGCACTGTGCTCCTTTTTACACTTGATCTGGTGAAGGTTTGACATTTGGACAAATTTACTTTGCCACAATCAAAAACCAGCGCACTTTTAGTTTCCCTACGGTAACCAATAGGCCTCATTTGGAGTGGCAGACAAGTGAGAATTAAGATTTAAAAAAACAACAAAAAGCAGAAAAAAAACAACATCTAATTTGTATAAGTCTATGTTTTTGTTTTTGTTAGTTTTCTAACCCACTGCTTCCCAACCTTATGGTCAGGACCGTCCTATAGGGGTTGTAAGATTAACTCTCAAGGGTGGTGAGATGGTTAGCAGCAAAGGATACAGTCAGTATGTTCTGAGAGAGAAATACTGGAAGTATTATCCACCCAGGTTTAGACACATTTATTGTCCTATGCGCAGCATAAAAAACAGCAATTTAACACTGTGCAATGAATTTGTCGCGTTTGCACACTCCCATATACATAATAAAGAATATATATAAAGAACTAAATAATATACATGATAAAAAATAAAAGAGACGGACACTAAGGTGCATATTGTCTATTTACATGTAGCAGCATCAGTGAGATGATGTAGCAGCAGATATACATACATTTAAAGTGCACAGTGCCTGGTGACATGTTAACTGGTGTCATGTTGTGTACGCTAAACAACAGTCATCAGTCATTGTTTGGGGTTATTCACGAGTCTGATGGCCTGAGGAAAAAAAACTGTTTGACAGTCTTGTGGTCCTTGATTTCACACTCCTGTACCGCCTCCCTGAGGGCAGTGGTGAGCGCAGGTTTCTAAGAACTATTAAAATCAACTACTCTTGGTTAAGGTCACAATAACCACTATTTATCATAGTCGATACTAGAATAACAAGAATGCTACGACCTTTATGACATGCTCAAGTGACCGAGTATTCTGATAACAAATGAGGTCTCATAATCATCAATAAATATACGTTACACCCACGGCCCTCTAATGTACATAATAAATCTGTATATGGGAATTTAAGATGTTTAGTAAATCAATAAATCATAAAAATGCACAGTGAAATGTTTTCTTTAAAGATGATATTTATTAATGTAACAAGTGAAATTAGAATATTTAATACATAAAATAGTCCATCATAAAATTACCTTCCCAAAAGTAGTACAGCTAAGTGGTCAAGTGCACCTCAAAGAGACTGGCGACGGAGTGCATCCGATAGAAGATTCCAAAAGGAAGTCCTATATTCACAATAGCGGTCCACATTGTGTATTGGTAGAAGTATATCTCTATGGAATGGTCAAACTGCGGCCGAGCTCCAAATGCAGGCATGATCCACAGCTGTCAAGACAAAACAGATTTTCGCTGGAAACATGTCTGTCTCTTACAGTTGTAGGTAATGTAAGAAAATATGTATAAATACAACTTACTATTACGTTAGCAAACAGTAAAAAGACACAGACTTCTTTCAGAACTCTTCTCTTCCAGCTGAGTTTATCAGGACATGATGCCAGGAAGTAGACAGACCTACGGCTGTCCACTACAGCGCTCAGCTCTGTGTTTTCTTGCAGGGCGTGGGCATTCGTGTGCAGAGCTGCTTCCTGAATCACATGAAAGGGCTCCCGATGGAGGCCTTCGATGATGAAATAATTCTGCAGGCCCAGCTGGAGCACCACCAACACAGCCCAGGTTAGGTTGAGTGCATTCAGGTAGCCTCTGGCTCCTGTCGCCACCACAGCCACAATAGTGAAATAGCTGATCAGGAACTGCCCCATTGAAGCACCCACCAGCAGCCCCACATCCAGGCTGCGTGTGGGGTTCTTCTCCGACACATGCTCCCTGTGGTCCAGCCTGTAAACAATGCAGCCGATCACAGTGGAGAGAGACATCAGGCTCACTATCACTATATTCACAGAAAAGTGAATCAGAAGGGCCGCATTTGTCTTCTCTCTGTCTTCTTTTAGTATTTGGACTTCATACAGTATAAATGTTGCGAGTCCTGCCATCACCAGGAGGATTCCCGTCACAGGTCCCAAACACACCTCCCTCGGACGGAACTTAACTTTGTGGTGGCTGTGATCCTCCACAATTCGACCCACATTTTTCCACATGACGTAGGCCATAGCAGAAGCAAAGAGGCTGTATTCTATGTTGAAGGGGTACAGGTAGTAAAAGGCCTCTTCAAACGTGTCACATGCCGAGTGACTGCATTTGCATTTCTTGTCACCATAGCTGGCTGAAATGAAAAGAACAACCTTAATGTTATTTGTGACCTCAAATTAACCTGATTTTAAAAAAAAAGGGAGAGAAGGAAAAAAACAACAACTGTACCCTGATACCTCTGTAAAACTTCTGTGACATGTTGATGTTCAGATTATAAATCTCAGTTTGGTGAACTGATTCTTCGGTCACGGCTGCCATCCAGACCACCAGGTTAGTGGAAAGTGTAAGAGTAAGCCCACACCTGCAGGAGTCAAGATGTGTATGATTAAAGAGTCTGAAGTGAGTGAAGAACTGACCGTGGCGAGTAGAGAAAATAAGTTACCGTGTAAAATTTGTGTGCAGCTGCACACAGTCTTTTGCATGAGTCCATAAGAAGTAGGTCTACAAACAGACAACTTTAGTTTAGTTTTGCCAACGCAGCCCAAGTGCAAGTAAGACTATAGTTGCAATGCATAAGCAGAATTTTCTTCAAATTCTACAACCTGGACAAACAGAAATACAGCCTGCACAACGGGGAAGGCTACTTTAACCGCAGAATCACAGTGAAGATAGCCCACGTAATTGGCAATCTTGAAGATGTCCATGAGGAAACTAAGCAGGCCAAACAGCACAAGTCCAGCTGCAATGTAAACAATGGAGTGATTAAGCCTTGAAGTGACTCGTCTAAAAACAGACCCAGACAGAATTGTCAAGAGTTCTCACCTTGGAGCCACACAGGCCCGGCGTGGCTGTCTTTGAACAACACTGCTTGATCCTTTCGGGAGGTGATGACGGTGTAAAATAGCATCCACAGCATGGTGAGGAGGAGGAGGATGATGAGGAAAATTTGTCGATGCACAGCAGTAATGGCCACGCTGTTGAAGGCGCTGCCGCTGACTAGAGCACAGCCAAGGATCAGGATGTTGATGCAGATTATGCCAGACAGGAGCCATCCACCGCCGTGGTGGGCCCTCTCCATCACTGCCTCCACGTGGTGGACACGCTCCACGCTGGGAGGATTGGAAGGACTGGGCAAATGCTGGATGTTTTCCATCTGTGCTGCTGTTTCAATGTTGGATGGATGGGCTTCAACAACATCGTTTGGTTTTTTTCTACAGGAGACACCAGTCAGTCAGGAGAATGAGACATACAAGATCTTTTATGAGCCCACTCAGGAATATTATGGGCCAAACACCATAAAAGTCATTGCCAAGGAAACACCATCTTTAAGTTTACAATATAATCTTCCCTTTTACAGGGTTAATGTTTAAAATTCACCCTTTTCCCTTTAAATATGTGGCATGTGGTTAAGCAGAGTTCATAGTAACAGACAGCACTGCAAAAAACAGAAGCTTCAAAATCATGGAAATTTACCTCGAGAAAAGTTTGTTGCAGGTCCGCAACATCTGCTGAGCTACAGTTTTCATTTTGTACTTTCAGGCACGTCTTAGCAGTGTCTATATTGTGTTCAAGTTCATCCACCAAGATTACATCAAGCATTGGAAAACAGGAAATAACTGGGTCAGCATTCTTCTCCGTGCAGGTCAGATTGTGCAAAAAGCTGAAAAACTGCAGGAGGTGTAGTAAATGAAGAAACACAGGTGCAATTAGTTTCAGCTGATTAGTTTCTTGCCACACACCATCAGTGGATTTCCATCACAAGTTCTATTGGTAGTCGTCACTTGCACGTCAATTCCTGTTCGACTGTGTATTTTGCAGATATTCCATACGTTAATCTATACTGGTACTAAACCGTGACGTAGGGGAGCCACTGCCTGAGGAAAAATCCAGGCTCAGTAAGTGTTTATGTTTTTGCTTCTTGGCACCTGTTCCAAGAAATTATTTGGGTCTTGCAGAAAGAAGCTTTGGTCTTGGTGAAAATCACAAGATATTGTTGATGAATCAATTATTCATTAGTTGCTTTTAGGTGTTTTATGCTGTTATGTGATATCACAAGATGTAGTAGTCAAATTAATTAAATAGTTAGAATCTGAGAGCTACTTTAAATCTACTGCTGACTGAAGTGACACTATGTGTGTGAATAAGTGGATCACCTTCAATTTTAATAAGAAACCATGAGGTAAAATATTACCAGGGAGTCCTTGAAAGGACATCAATTGCACGGATTGCACAAAAGGCTTTATTATAGTTCAGAGTGAAAACCTCAACAAATAGGGGCTGTAACATGAAGCAAAGGCTGACTTGGAGGACTGGCAGAAGTTGTAATTTTGCATAGTTTTACATTTGCATACTTTAAAAGCCATTAATTATATAAATAGTTGAAATATCCCACAGTTATTGTTTTAGGTTAGTTATTTTTGTTAAGCTGGAAAAAGAAGGGGGAATAAGAGAATCTACACATTTGGATAGTGACTGAACTCCAGAAAATTGCTAGATATTTATTCAAAGGATATTGTGAAGCAGAAAAGCTAAAACAAACAAACAAATGTAAGAAACATAAAAGGATAAACATACATTTTATTATACCAAAAGAAATTTCAAGTTAAAAAACAAACAGAAAAACGGTCCGTCTTCATGCAGGTCTGCTGTTGGAGAAAATGTAAATCTTTTACAGGTCACCTGCTCGAGCTGGCAGATGTCACGTAGAGCTCATGAACCTGAGCTGTGTGCATTCATGGGTCAGTCACAAGGTTGGAAACAAAGGTCACAAACTGTTCACTCTGCCTGTCACAAATATTCAAGATGCTGAAAACACCAGACGTCCTTCTGCTCTTCTGTCTTGTTGGGGCAGCTGAGGCCCTGTACAAACAGTGGGTTCCTGATACCAACTATGAGAATAAAACCAACTGGGACAAAGGAGCTGTTCCGTGCGGCAGTGACAGAGTTCAGTTTCCAGCTCAAAGAAAAGTGTCTGTGTTTGTGGAGACCACACATGGTGTGCGGGAGATGAGGCTGCCAGTTGACGGAGAGTTCATCCTCAATTCAAGAGCTGGATTTTATGTTGTCAGCGGACAAGATCCAAGCTGTGGAACAGGAGTCACGGCTCAGTTCAAAGATCCAACATCTCTTCAGTGGTTTGATCCAGCCCTGTGGCAGGCAGCGGCAACTCTGAATGACCTGCAGAATGGAAACTTCCTATTCTCGGTCCATGAGGAGAGTGTCCCTTGCCAATATGACGATGTTGTTTTTAAAGCCCTCTCATCCTTCAGCGTGGACACCAGCTCCAGTCAGTCGAGCATCCCTGTCAAATCTGTGTCTGTGCTGGGGAAGATGTTTGACAGCAAATCTGAGTTCTCCCAGTATCTCAGCTCACGCTCGGGCCAGCTGCAGTTCCACGGATCGTCTGCTGTCACTGTCGAAAATCAAGGCTGTGGGGATCCTTCTGGCTGTGAGTGTGGGAACTCTGAGAACAATCAGCGGATCTGTAGCACAGTAACATGTGAATCCGTGAGCTGCAAGAAGCCTCTCCTCCCTGCAGGACATTGCTGTAAGGTGTGTGGTGCCATCATGACCATCAAATATGCCACAGGTTTCAACCTGCAGACTTACAGAGAACGAATCCGTCACCTCTTTCTTACCCTGCCACAATACAAATCCATCCAGCTGGGCATGTCTAAAGTGTTAAAGTCACAATGGTTGATGGAGATCATCCCTTTTGGTACAACATCTGAAATCCAGGTAGTTATTCTGGATCAAGAGAAGGGAACTCAGGCAGAGGCTCTGGCCTCGGACATATTAAAAGATGTTCGTTCTCATGGCACTACCATTGGAATTGTGGAGGCTGAATTTCAAGCCTCCTCTGGGAGCAGCAGCAATCAGTCTGGGATCAATGTAGGGACAGTGGTTGGAGCTCTGTTTGGAGTTTTAATTATTATTACAGTCATTGTTGTCATGGTTGTCCTTATTCGCAAGGGGATTGTACAAATGCCAAAGCTACATTTAATGCCATCAATGAGCACCACAAAGAAAAACAATGATTTTGACCTTGGTGGGCCTCTTGACCATGGTTTTGATAATCCCATTTTTGACAAGCCCCATATGCTGCCTGATATTCCTGGTCTACATGAGAATGGAACTGATAATTCAGTCTACATCACTAAGACAGGTGTGCACTTTGTAAATCCAGTTTATGATGACAAAGAAACTGATTTTAATGCCTGAAGTATTTTTGCATTAACATGATGATCTTTCAGCACATGTATCATATATATAATAGAACTTTACAACAAGCAAACAATGCAAAAAGCTTATGAATTGCTGACAGACACCAAAGCTTTTGATGACCAAATAAACGTGTAAGACAAATAAAAGAATTATTGGCACTCAACTGTGTACTTTTGCCCTCATTTTTATCACATTAAAGTAGTAAAGCTGCAACACAGCTGCAGTAAATTTCTAACACGCCTTCTGCTGCACAGGTTTCCTACTTTCATGCTGCACAGTTACCACTAGATGGTAGTAAATTTAACCTTCTGTGACATGCATGGGAACAGTTCTCCTCATGTACAATATCTTTATGTACCTTGTCAGGCAACATCAATAAACATTTAAAATGTACTTTTTTTTTTCTTTAACAGGCTGGAATTAAAGGCTGCTGGTAATTTGTTAGCAAAGCCATCATTTTGCATCAACCAGAGAAACGACATTGTCTTTCTTTGACAGCCAAACTGTAATATATAAGGGCTCTATGAAATCAGCCGTGTACGTGTGGAGCAGCTTCACAGGACCGGTAACATTATAGAAAGACACAGAACCTCGATTAAAGTCAAGATATAAACCAATCCGGGTGATGTCAGCGACTTCCAAGACGGTCTCCACACTGGCATGCCAGGCAGAGAAACCCCGGCTGTTCCTTCCCATGCACCACGAAAAATCATTCCCAGTGATGCAGCTCGTACTTTCCTCTCCCTTACGATCAATACTCTTGTAGGTGACGCCAACATGTGCGCCTTCCCCACTCAGCTCTGCTTCAATGTAGTGTCTCCCTAAGTACAGGCTCTCTAAAGAAATGGCCTGACGCCAATATTCAAAGCGACTGGGGTGGTCTGGGTAGCTGTGCTGCCAGGGGCTGGTATTGGTCAACTTTCTGTTGCCCTCCATTAAACGCAGAAAATTATGGGTGGTGTCCGGGTCAAATGTCAAACTCCTAGTATCTAGAACAGGGGAAATACAATCAGTGTATGATTTAGAAGCTATGATTTGACAGACAGGAAACATAGAACACAATGTACTGGAAACTGTATTTACATTTCAAGAAGTCCTCTCGGGTCTCAGGGTCAGGCAGGGGGGAAAGCGAAGACTCTGGTATCGAGGATTTATTGCCTAATCAATCATTTGCAGAAAGATTATTAATAAATTGCAACTAAAAATGAGTTTTAAAAATGGGGCAGTATTTGGGGACAGCAGTGCTTCAATTACCATTTTCTAATTAGTTCAAAACACAAAGTATAGCTGAGGCTAATGGGGGTGCCACTATTTTTGCAGATATAGATTATAAAGCAAATACCTGCAAAATAACAATATGATACCACTAAATGAAATAGATTGGGGTCACCAAAGTTATTCCAGTTCATCCTCAGGGAAACATGAATGCATTTACAAAATGTCACGTCAATCCATCCATTTGTTGTTGAAACATTTCAGTCAAAGGCAGAAATGTGAACCTCATGGTGACACTATAGGCCAATTAAGGGGCTCACCAAAGTCATGAGCGTGAATCCTCTGGGAATTCAGAATGTCTATACAAAATTTCAGTTTGGATCAAAGCAGTGGACGTCAACAATTTCCCCAAGGTACCCAACCAAAGGGATCAATCTATCTAATAAAGTTTTATCTACATACAGGCCAGTTGCAATCCCTAGAAGCACACTGCTAGCGTGGCTAAAAAGAACACATGGCCTGATCCACTGAAGTTGAAGAGCCAGAGAAGATATGAGGTAAAATATACAATGTGAAATACACTCACCACTGCTGCAAATAGTTTTCAGTTTTTCCTTATATGTGGATAAAATCAGCTCACACAGCTCCTGTGTTGCATCGGTCACTACCTGAACATAAGAGGTAAGATGGTCCATACGGTTGATGTGCACACTGGGCACACATGCATCCAGCTCTCTTTTCGTCCACTCTGAGTACTCCTGGAACAAGCAAGAACAGACAAAAGTAACATGTATCAGATAGCATAATGTGAAATGATGCTGTTAAAAAAAGCCTGATTTTTTTCTTTTTTCTCGTGAAATAACTAAATAGTCGTGTGGCTTCCTTGATCTGTGTACACCGTCAACACACTGACATTGGAGAACATCCGGTGCTAATCCCATATAATGTTAGACTTTTGACCAGAATGTGTTCACAACCACTGGCCCATATAATCTCTGTACATTGTTGTTTTGAGAGTTTCACATACCTGCAGAAAGTCAACATCACACTTGTTTTTGGACAGTTTGTTCATTTGAGCCAGTGTTTTCATCAGCTCGGCCCTTCTCTGCTCCAGATGTGCTTGGATACCTTCTGCCTGTTTGAGTGCTCGTTTCTGTTCTCCTTCCAGCCCCTCCATCACTCCTTGTCTGGCCTCCTCCACAGTTGTGTGTAGCCTGGTGAACTGCTGTTCAGCAATAACACAAACCTCCTGCACTGAGGACTGGAGGAAAGAGAAAAAAAACATGAATACGATAATACAATTAGAATAGCATATTCAAACCAGACAATTGTGCATTCAATTAATCCAGACAAAAGGGAGTGTGATGTAACATTTGCCTTTGGAGGATTACCTTAATTAAGTCATTATTGTCTTGCAGTTTTCCAATTGCTTTCTCAGCTGCTGAGGCACTCTGACTGATCTCTTTGTGTTTCTTCTGCAGCTCAGTCTACAAATAATCATCACAAACGAGAGCACAGCAGATGCTGCGTTAGGTTCTTCAAATAAGATCACATGTTGAAAACCAATGTAAGAGCAAAACTGTTCAAAATGACTCATCACTTTTTCCAGATGATGTAAAAAAAAGAATCAAGTATAATTTTTGTATTTCTTCCTAGGGATTAAACCAAATTCAAAATAGATCTCACAATATGTCAAGTTCCATAATGAATAAACTGTAGCGTGTGCTGTATGTTTTTAGACCTCAATCTGTGTGCGTGCCTCCTCCAAAGATGCCGTTGCGTGTCCTTCATGCTCCTGACTCTCGCAGTCCAAACAAACACAGCGGCCGTCCATCAGGCAGAAGCGTTTGAGAGGGAGCTGATGAACTTCACAAGCCTGGCAGTCGAAGTCATGGAGGGGATCCACCAAACGATGGTTTTGAAATTTGGCGTTCTCCAAATGTGGTCTGAGATGGGCCTCGCAGTAGGAAACCATACAGGTCAGGCAGGATTTGAGCGCCGTGCTGGGGCTGTCCATGCAGGAGTCGCATAACACATCTTGTTGCAGCAGCGTGTCCTCCAGTTCCTCCTTTATGTCGGCAGTGTGTTGATTCTCCTTTGAATTCTCCTCATTGTTGCTGCTGAGAGTCGCCATGTTTCAGTGTTTCTCTAAACCTGAACCTGCCTTAACGCTGTTTCAGACTTTTACAAGCCCCAGTCTGTAGCCTTTCCTTTTTCAAAGATCTGAAGACCCTCAGAGTGCATGGAAAGAATTGAGAACCACGCCTAAGGTATTTTGTACTAAGCCAGCTGAAGTGTTCTCATTTTTCACCCCTCCCTTGCTCTACTCCTCTCTTTTCCGAGTATCCAGTCTCACTGAGCGAAGGACACAGCAGACTACAGAGATAAATGAAGGAAATGAGTGTATTATGAGCCTGCCAGGGAGGGGAATAAACGTCCTCCCTAATGTTCAATTACTGATTATTCATCTGACAGTTTATCTTTAAAAATGACAAAAAACCCCAGCTGCATCAGATTTCTGTTTCCAAAAACGCTAATGTTTATGCTTCATAGTTGAGCTGATATTGTTAGAAAGTCGTTTATTTTACTGGAATTCTTAACGCTGAGAGAGTTTCCTTTTCCTGCAGATAAGTGTTATGTCAGAGGCACGGAACTTCCAAACAATTCCAGTTATCTCCTGCACAACTTCCTTATTTCATGTCATGCAGTACAGAGGTTAACAGTGACGCTGGTCTTACGTGTGTGAGCAGTTTCTGAGGATTAACACTTTGGCTGAAGATGTCAAAACAAGCATTTTCCACTCCCTGTTATGTGTCTGTCTCGCTCGCTCATAGATACGTAAACACCAATGTCTTGGCAGAAGCATAAAATCCCGTCATTGTAAACAGGTCATGACTCAGACAGGAAACTCACTGACCTGTGAAAACTCTGAAAACACGAATACATACCAACAGTGCTCAAATTCAATACATGTATATGTTTGCCTCACCTCATGACTTGCGTTTAAGAAAGTGTTTCAAAACTGTTTCAGTTATATTTAGTATTTTTGTAACATGTTTTTTTTTTTCTCCACTATTTCATGGCTGAAATATTTTACAAAGCCATCTGGACTTTCTTCACTGTTGTTAAATGTGTGTAATTCTGGTGGGTATTACTAAATCATCAATTTTTTTAAGTTAGGTTTGTGCCTAGAAATGTTTTTATACTGTAACCAGTCATATTAAATACAGTATTTAATATGAGTGTGATTATAGTATCTAAACTTATCCTTATGCTATTAACCCCTCAAATTCCCAGAAATATGACTATATGCTAACAGGACCTTAGCCCTCCTACTAGTAGCTGTGACCAAGCCACATCTTACAGTATGCCCTGTTACTCTTCAGTCTGAGCTGGAGATGAATTGAAACATGGATACATTACTGAAACAATTAACAGCATTGAAAACATTAGTACTTTTATTTACAGTAAAATCGCCCTAAGGTATTACAAATGCTGAGCTAGTAAGTGTTAACATATGTTTAACATTGTGCAGACATACATTTTTTTTAAAACTTACTGTTCGATCTATTGGAAAACTGTCATATTGTCAAGAATGACAAGTGGTTTACAAAAGTTAGTACATCTCCTAGTGTAATCTTTTTGTGATATAACATGTTGTACTGTGTACTACAAAATTATTTTAAAATACTGTGTTTCACATAGTTTAGAACAAAAATAGTACAGTCATCTCAACAAACAATTGGCTTTCTATACCAGTGAGCTGCATTTGGCTCACTGTGTGTAAACATATACAGGAAGGAAATAGAACTCCAGGTTAAAATGCTGCTGTTGTAACAGTTGGTAATAAAATTATAGTCAAGTTAATGACAAGGTATTTATGACAAACAACACTTATAAGCAAATGCACAGGCACAAGCAATGCAGGCACATGGGATGGTAAGCTTTTCCCCACAGGGGAAAACAGTTTTCAGGGGACAGAAACCCCCACAATCAACTCTCTGTTGATAATCATGCCACATAGCATACAATGACACTGCACGGCGCTGTACTCCGATAATTGTCTTTCAGTTTGTGAAACCATGCAGTGCAGGGAACTCCGAACAACCGACACAGTGATCTTCCTGAGCAAACAAACAATGTAAAACAATCTTGTGAAGGTAACCCCCACTTTTCTCTTGTTCCCGGGTGTATTTGTCGTGATAGCATCCCTTCTCCTTTGAGTTTACCAGGAGATGTAAATCAGGTAGTCCTCCCTGTATGTGGCATTCACTCCACAGACCTTTACGGCTGGATGAGCACACAGCAGGACGACCATTGACAACTGTTATCTGCAGAAAAAAATAAAGACAATCAAAAAAATCCATGTTTGTGAATGAAGAACTTTTTTTTTTAAATGAGGGTTTTCTCAGTGGCTAGACCTCAACAACAAGAAACAAAATGTGTAGAAATATGTGGGCAGTTACACATCTTGCGATTTGGTCAGAATATGAATTTAAACAACAACTATGAAGTTAAAGCGTTGGCAATTTAGCTTAAATCATTTTTCAGTATGGTCACAACTATACGGAGCACTTTTTAGTTCTCCAGTTTTAGTTGAACTCAGCAGTAACAGTAAATATGCTGAGCAAGCAGCTCTTTGGGATGGAATGTTTTTGACTGGCAAAGTCAGACATCTGACCTCAGGCCAAACTGTGCATGTGTTTCACCACTGATAAAGGCCACACTGAAGGCAAAACAAACAAACAAAAAAAAGTTAAGACAGCCTTACTACAGGCCTGACATAAGTTTTCTGACGTCTGCGGGTCATAGACTTCCATCAGTGGGTTTGAATTCAAATATTAAAACTAGCCTTTTTAAGTTTTTTTTACCACAAGTGGCCCATTTCTTTGCTGTTGTGCACAAGCATATGAGTGCAATACAAATTCTTTAAATTCAGACTATTTTACTGACCAATAGATGATGATATTATCATCTCCACAAAGCACCTCTAAACATTATGCATTGTTATTATACATGATGTTTGGAGAATTTTGGTTTGTAGGCCTCTGTACTTCAATGTGCTGGAGTACTGAGACAACATATCACATAATATGTAACTGCTCAAATACTTGAACTTAGAGTGCGTAACTGAAATTCGAAACACTCACAATTCTGTGTCCTCGATACAGTCAGGGTCCTCTATGGTCTCTAGCCGTCTCTTACAGGCATCTAAGATCTTTTTCCGTGGTCCTAAGGGGATGTGGATACTCTTAAGGTCATGATCAGAGCAAAGCAGCAGTGCTGAAAGGTCGATCTTCTCCCTTTTGAAGATGGAGAAAAATTCGCTCATGGACTGTGTGGCGAGGAAGACCTCCAGAGGACTCGTGTCAGGCTCATCATCATCGTCCAGCCCTAATTCAACTTCTTCCCAAGGTAGCTCCTCCACATTCCTCTCCTGCAGGCTGCGTGCACTGCCAATGCTGTCTCCATCCATACTAGGGTACTGCTGCAGTCGACTGCGTAAACGCACATTGTTGCTCGATCTGTCCACGTTGGCTGCATCTCGACTACCGAGGTCAAACATTCCCCCACTTACGTAATTCCTCCTGAAGACCATGGTGCCGAGACCAGGTCGGTTGAACAGGGAATCATGTCCAGAGTCTGTGCTGATCTCAGAATAGTCCACATCTGGCCCGTGGAGGTCCGGCTCACTCATGGCACGTGAAATGGCATCGTCATTGTCTCTAGTGAACATGTCACGAACATTGCGCCGGCCACGGTCCTTTGGGTTGATATAAGTCCCTTGTTTGACAAACATAACATCATTACCCAGCTGAAGGCCAGAGAGGGAGCGCACACTCTTCCTTCCATCTTCATAGATTTTAAAGGTGCCATCTCCTTGTTTCCTCTTCTCCAGCTTTCTCTGGATCTTTGTCTTCCCTCGGTTTGTGGCATGGAGGGTCGCCTAACAGGACAAGCAATGAGGCACATTTGAAAGGTTTGAGCCAAATATTCTTGAAGCTAGTGTATTCCTCACATTCATACTGACAAAGTTTAGTCGATTTATATGGGTTTTTTTTTTTTTTTAATATACTTTTAACATAACTGCTGGTCTCAATTAAAGTATGTGCTGTGAAACTCTAAAGCATAGCAAAGGTATGGTCATGTTAAAAGTAGACCACTTCAGTCCAAACTGAAATATCTCAACAACTACTGGATAATCCTAAGAACTTCAGCAGAAGGCAACTGGACTTGTCTTTTTGGTTCTCAAAGAAATCTTATTCAAGAGACTTTTATATAGAGTAAACTGAACAACCACTCCACATTATATGGCACAACACAGAAGAACCGGCTCCTTGGGACACTCCACCCATATCTAAAATCTAAGAGTCACTCATATGAGGACAACAATGTTCACATTGTGGACAGAGTTGAAAGATGGTTTGAAAGGGGGTGTGAAACAACCCGTCTG